AATGATATCTTGCTTAGAGAGTTATTGATGCAGATATTATATAAGTGTTAAGTACTTTTTATTGCATTACTTCCGATGTATGAGATAGAATGCTGAAATTAGTGTCTTATTTCAAAATGAGGACACCTAATGGGCTCACTTACCAAAATATACAGCACAATAGTGGATGCATAATTTGGTCACCACTCAAAAGATGAGAATAGTTAAGATGAGCAAATAGCTTCATGCCAACTTTCATTGGATTGAACGAGTGGAACAATGAAGGGGACTTATTTATAATATGGCTCTGAAGCCTAGTGCTATTTTAGCTACATTTTCTATGAACAGAAGCAAGAAGGCCAGTTCAAAAATTGGGATTTAAATTGCACTAACATGTAATAGTTCATGCAAAGTAAATATTTACAAATGCAAACATAATACATATGCAAACATATCTCTGAAGTCATCTATTTTTGTCCACATGGTGCAAGATGTTCTGGGGTATATTTTTAAAATTCAGCCTTTTCGAGGTTTTACATTGCAAACATAGGGTATTAAAAGAATCAAAATATAAAGGAAAGTGTTGGTGGCTCTTCTGAATCTAAAACAATTCTGCTTTCAGATATAAGTTCACAGAACCTTTTAAATCTGGAATGTTCACCTAAAAAGTTTAAATTTTCATTTGTGCATTAAATCAAATCAATTTGCTGCACAAATGGAAAATTAAAAATTCTGCAGTGTGTGACTGTGGTCACCCAGATCAGATCGTTGAACAGATAACAACTCAGTGCTCAATTCACAAATACAAATGAAGCATCACAGTGGCACACATTCCACTACTCCTGACACAATTATCTGGCTTAATGTGAAAATTAATCTAAATGTGAAACTAATGTTGCCTCTTTAGATCTACATCAGCCATATGAAGAAGTAGTTCAAAGTGTGTCAGAAAATCAAAGATTACAGTTTGAGGAATTCTTTATAGAGCTAAATAAAAATGCAGGATACTTTGACTGGGTTCCTTTATTGAAGTTCTCAGCATCACTTTCAAGCATATGTATAGATACAATATATACTTAGCACTTCTAAGAATTATACATTGTAAGAGGTGCACAAATTGAGCTCTGGGCTGATAGACACCATGTATTTATAATGGTCAGTGCAACCACAGTTAGAAAAGCAGTGTTAACTCACACTTCTTGTAGCTATCCTGTTGGAAGCTATGGTATGTAATGAGAAATGTCAAGTCCCAAGATCAATGAAATTTCAGGCTCTAGGGACAAAACAGGAATAGCATTGATCCTTTTAAAGAACACCAGTCAGAGGCCGAATGTAATATATTGCTCAGAGAGGCTCAAGAGGATAAGCAGCCAAGTCCAACATACCTACCTGACAAAAAATTCAATCAGCTTTTAGCACTAGCTGCCTGCTCTGCTCTCCTTTCATGCAGGAGGCTGGTTCCAATTAAAGTGTGCAAATTAATTTTTATCACTTCCAAATTAGTGTCTGAATTTGTGTCTGTTTCAGATGAAATAATCTGTTCCTCACTTTTCTGCAATTCTATCTACTAAGGTATCTATTCATAAACAGAGATATTTTTCTATTTTCAAAATCACCTGTTTGAATGAGACATTCAGTAAAGCCATCATAAAATATACAATTAAAACAGCTATAACAATACATATTAAACTTTAGTGAATATCATTCAGTCTTTGGTATGCCTTTGATGAGGACTAATACAGTTATTGTGTCAGAAGAGCTCCTTATACAAATGAGCAACAAGCAAAAGAAAGTGCCCAAAAATCATGAAAGAGAAAAAAAGAACAAAGCGGTAACTGGATTTAATGATATTCTACAGTAACTCTGCAGTTATGGGAGACTAAACACAAGAGATTCATATTTGTCCTTTATATTTTTAAAACACGAATATCTCTGCTGTATTATGAATTGCATTTGTAAGAAAATCTTTACCATTTAATTACTGTACCTTCACAACTGAAAACTTAACTATTTTTTATTATAAATAGATTTGTCAACCTTAATACCAAATATTTCAAAAGCAATTAAGTGTCTGACTCACATCTGTGCCTTTGAAAATCTCCCCATAAACTATTTGACAAATATAGGGCCTGATCTCACAAATACTTACCACTCAGTTCAGTAATAGGAAATTTTAATGAGGTCATTGTAATAAAGATTCCCTTCCCTCTTTCCAAGTGAGCAAGTTCTTAACCACTGAGCTGGAGCAGCATGTTTCAAGACTCTTACCTAAACCAATTATTTCCCATTCCTCTGATTTAAACCAGAGCTGATCTACTAGTTCCCACACAGACAATCATGAACTGAGGTCATCTACTAAGCACAATATCTATAAGGATTGTTTAGTAAAGAGTTCTGCTGGAGTTTGATGGGTTTGAACATTGACATATGCAATGTTTAGTCAGGATTCCAACAAACACATTAGATTTTCATGAACTGTAGCTAAACCAGTAAGGAGTTTATCCTGACACATTGTTTCTCAAAATATTTTTGGAAATAATCTATTAATTGCCAGAGTGATGTTTTCTTTAAGTCAAAACCTGGTTTATATTTTATATATTAACACACATACCATGTTTTAAAATATATAATTAAAAATATTTAATGACGTTATGGTGCTTTAGAAAAACTATTTTCTGAAACAACTAACGTTCCTTTTGGTAATTGGATGCACTGAAGCTGAAATTGATAATTAACTGTCTTTCAGTTTAAAAGATCATTATAAAGTCAAGCACTTAGCCCACATAATTACTATAACCTGACATTTTTCTTTGAATTCTTCACCTCCACACAGTCTGTGATATAAAATATCTTATCTGTGTCTCCAGATGACAGCTTTTAAGAAACTAATCCTTTTCTGAAAGTATTATCTGCATCTTTCTAGGGAGCCATTCTAAAGATATTAACTAATTGGATATAACCTACACTGAACATCTTAATTTCATCTTTCCTACAAGACAAGTCCTAATCTACTAGCAATAAATGTATAAGAAATGTAGATGCAACGAAGAAATATTTTCTAATAGAACTATTTCATTAACTTAAGGCTTAAATCTTCAATAATAAAAATATTTGCAAGGATTGTAAAATGTGTATTATAGTGTGAATCAGTCACTTATTGGACAATTTGAAGTCATGGCTATAAATGATAAAATCTTTCTTGCTGAATATATGTTTGCACATGAAAGCACCCGGCATTCGCATCCTATGCACTATTGGTACAAATTACACCCTGAGAGGTACCATTTGAAAGCTAATACCTTGCTGGCCAATAATATCATGGTGAAACCCATGGAAGCCCTGCCTAGGCAAACATTAAACAGGTCTACCCTAGACAAAGCAATGTGTGTTTACCTCAATTTATTTAGAAGTAGTAAACAGGGACCTTGAGACAGTGAGAGGGGAAATTGGAAGCAGATAAAGCAAATGTGCATTTCAGCTGCAGGATTTGATATGTGAAATACATATTTTAGGTGTTGGGACATGTGAAAAGACTACCTGCTTGTCTGTCAGGGAAAAAACAGCCAGATAATCATCTTGGTCAGCAAGCTGTTCTGATAAACATTTTGGTCAGCAGTTCAATCAGGTAAACAACTGAGTTAACAAACTAATATTAGTGTTAGGCAGAAAAAGTGTTGATGCAGTATATAATCAATAACTTTGGAATGTATGTTAGGCACGCACCTGAATGTGGGAGCATGCTGCATTTAACCCTATGTTGTGCATTTAACCCTACAGGTGGACCAATCATTAACTGAAGCAGCAAACAAACAATATTTACTACTTCAGTTCAAGAGTCTGTCTTTGAACCTATATATTCTGGGTAGAGAGGAAAAGAGCTGGTCAATATCAACAGGCACAAGGGAAAACAAAAAGCCTGGAGACAACTTCACCACCAGACTCCATTCCAATCTGATGATATTGTGAACAAAAACTATTCTCATCTCAACCATACTTGCAGCTCTTTCCATCACTGCACAATAAGTCAACATTCTGTGTTTCAGGGTGACACAGAGTGACCATCCTCAAATGTTATTATATAAATTATGCCATAGGCTTCTTTTGTGAAATTCTGTAGAACTCTCACAAAGCTATTCTACAATTTTTCAAATTTCACCCTGGAGTCTGTTAGTTTTTAGCTGACAGAACTGTAAACATTTTTGCTCCAATATTGAAAAACAATAGCAAACATTTTGACTCAGCAAATGATTACTGAGCATTTATTCCTGTCTGATTTACTCTTTTACCAAGCTGTTGTGGTGTACTGTTAGAAAGCTGCCCTTTTTTACCACAGAGGAATGACATCATAATAATAAATTTAGCATTCCCTCACAAATGACATGGAACCCTTTATTATCATTTTATTTTCCCCCTGTTTTTATTCAAACACACCAGTCCTATATCAATATTTTACTCCTCTTTAAGACTGTTCCTCAGAGTTATGAATTTGACTCTAGGATATGTATGACACCTTTGTTTGTGAAGGTTAACATCTGCAGTACTGATTTAAAAGGAAAAAAGTGGGAGGGGAGAGAAAGACATTACAAAATAAATGTTAATTATTAAAATGGAATGGAAATACTTATGGGGAAGGAGAAAGCAAAACACGGAGATACATGTCCTGACTCCAGAGGACTTTTTTTATTACAGCATGTTGCAACAGGACGATACAGGTGAAAAGGATAATTATGAATTTAAGAAAAGGATACAGGTGAAAAGGATAATTATGAATTTAAGGCTCTCAGGTTACAACTGGGCCCCCCAAAATGATTTATCAAAAACATTTTACCAGAAAACTATTTAAAGATCTATATTCACTTTTTTCTGAACTAATTTCCCATCATTATTATACTGTACCTGCAATTCACAAGAATAACATATACATTTTATAATGGTTTGATGTTAATGGAGTAGATTTAAAAATCAAAATATGGATTATAAAATTATGCACTTAGCATGTATTTATCACAATATATACTTACTGCTATTTGGATTATCCCCTATAATGTGGTGTCGGCCACTCCAATACCAAAGAAGCAATGTAGCATCACGAGATCCAGAGACAATATAGCAGTCACCACCAATATAGGATTCTGATCTGGCAAGGCAAGTAACAACATCCCAGTGGCCAAAAACAATCTGAGTTAATTTTCCTGCATTAAAAGAAATTACAAATTTGGTTTCCATGTGCATTGGTTTTCTTTTTTATACAAGTGACAACAAGCAAATTTAACAGTGAAACCAAATATATTTAATTTGGTCATATTTTTGGTCCTTTTGGACATTTGTTGCCAGCATTAATGTAAGCATCCCAAAGCCTGCACTAACTTGATGTAGGATGGATAGCCCTATACAGCCCTGTATATTCCAGGATCAGGAAAGTACAAAGGTGAGGTTTAAACTGGATCTGTGCTCTGTGGAGATCAGCCACAACCCTATCCCCTGACCCTAAATGTTAAACAGTTATTGTTCCATGAGTTTTAACTTACTGCTGTTAAAAATGATTTTACACAATCTTGTGACAGATTAATCATTTGATTATATAAAATCAAAGGAACTGCTCCATAACAATATTACTTTATTATACTGAAAGAACCTATATTTGTCCAACATTAATATCATCTGCAGGTCTACAACCTTAGTCATCTTTTTTTTTCTAATACTCTAATCAGCTTTTAAGTAGGGTTGCCAGATAGTTTAACCAAAAATACCAAACACCCCCACCCCCAAAAAAAGAAGCGGGAGAGAGGGGGAAGACCAAAGTTGTTGAGCAAAATATATATATATATATATAAACAGCATTAAAACAGCATGGGCCCTTTCAGAGTGCCTGCAGAGTCAGAATAGGGATAGGAACAGGGGAGAAGTTGAGCACTAAGACCCAGGGAAGGCATTGCTTCCCCTTGGTCTTTAGGCTTTTTTCTGGTGACCATTTTGTTTTCATGATCGAGCCAAAATGCAGCTTCCCTGCAGAACCAGGTAAGCAGGGAGTCCAGGGGCAGAGAGTTAGGGGTGTAGGAGGCTGGGGGAGGGAGGCTGGGGGCTGGGCCCAGTTGCCGAGTATGTCGTAGGGTTGCCAGATGTCTGGTATTTTCGCCTCCTGTCCGGGAAAAAAAATCAGAAAATACTGGACATTTTAGGTGTCCGGTATTTTCTGAAATTTTTTTACTGGACCACGGGTGAAAATACCGGACTGTCCAGGTAAATACGGGGCACCTGGCAATCCTACTTTTAAGTTAAAAGGGCTCCAAATATCATACAGTGGAAATTTGATCAGAATATATATAAAACAAAAACAGAGCAATGGAAAATTCTAACAACTATGGGCAGTATAAATTTGCTTTCACATTAGGTCAACCAAACAAAAAAACACTCACTATTATTAATGGTGAACAACTGAATGTGAAGTACACATAAAAAAAATCAACCCACCCAATTAAAAATATTATAATTTAATAGCTTTGGTTCACCTATTTACACAAGCAATCAATTCATTGATATCACAATGGTTTGTGTAGCTTTCATGAGCAAAACAGTACACTTTTTGGTATTTAATTTTCATCCATCATCTTCAAAATACCATCCATAAGCTGTTACAAGCAGATATTTATAAAGAAGAATTTTTTAATTTTTTTGGGTGGTAAGCACAATACATTAAATACTGTTAGTGTGACTAACAGTCTTTTAGTGAACTAAGAGCCCATAAGAAACAGGATATTGTGTTTATGATCACCTGTTTCTGTAGAATAAACCCGAAAGCTCTTGTCCCAGAAGCCACAGATAAGAATGTAGCGGTTATCTGCTGTGACCACGAAACAATGTGCATTGATCTGGATGCTCTGATCCACAAGGTCTGTGATCTGCCGTTTGTTCACACCAGAGTTATTGGCTGTAAAGAAATGCAAAACACATTTACAAATAAGCCACTCCAATACCTACCTGTCATGCACTTAAGGGAGAAAATGAATACATTTAACTTTCAATGAACTGTGAATTTGCTGTTCAGTAAGCATTTTGAATATAAACATTTAGAGCTGTCTATACTAGATGTCAGAAACATAAAATTATTGTGAGTCTTCAGTTTCCCTTGGAATAAGACAAAAGATTTTACATGCTGTGACAATTGTTGATAAAACTGCCTAACATATTGTATGATATGTGCTAATATTTTAAGTACTTTGCAGAAGTATTCTCTGATAAAACAACTACACATTGAAATATGGGAAAATGAATAAGGTCCATTTATAATTTCAATCCAAACATAAATAAACTTTATGGAGGCAACTTTTGGTGTTGTATCCTCTGCGGTGAAGCTCTCAGCTTGAGTTGTGTGGCCTTGATGTAATCCACACCTCTGGAGGCGTAATCGGATCATAGAGTTGACAGACCCAACCACATGCAGCTATTTATATCCCATGTGCATTCTTAAAATATGTCTGTTTATCAGGTATGGAGCCAAAGCACTGAAGGTGATGTCAGGAGAGGCAATAACAGCAGGAAAACCCGCCAGGTGGAAAAAGTCTGAATGGGCTATGGAGCCCAGGGTATGTCTACACTACCCCGCTAGTTCGAACTAGCGGGGTAATGTATGCATACCGCACTTGCTAATGAAGCCCGGGATTTGAATTTCCCGGGCTTCATTAGCATAAGCGGGGAGCCGCCATTTTTAAATCCCCGCTGCTTCGAACCCCGTGTAGCGCGGCTACACGGGGCTCGAACTAGGTAGTTCGGACTAGGGTCCTATTCCGAACTACCGGTACTCCTCGTGAAACCTTTAAAAATAATCTGTTTCAACCTTGGTTATAAAAATGAATATACAGAATGAGAAGGGAAGGACAAATCTCCTGACTTACTACTTGTATAGCAAGACTTCCAACATTGGATACATATAAGGAAAATGGAGCCTTTTACTGAGACACTTCATGTTACCATCTTGCTTTCACGTATGCTTCCAAAAAGTGCAGCAAGAAACATCCCGACTCAATTTCTATCTAAAAATCTCGCAGCAAATATTTACAGTTAAAGTAAAACAATAACAATTAAAAATATAGGCTCCCACAATCCACTCTGTGTTGAACCTCTCTACTCCAGCAGCCTCAGGACATGACCTGTGCCTAATAAGAGAATTTGCCAAACCATGGGAGGTCAATATTGTCTAGCAGCATTGCAACACTTCCACTGTCTGCTGGGCTTTTAGAAGACATTTAGGGGTAAATTAGAGCTAAATAAAGCACAGAACACTGAGATCCAGGACTGGTGAATGTAAACAAATTTTATGGGACTGGGAGAAACATAATAAGCAGACACACCTGGCTAACTAAAATCATACGAACCAGAGATGTTGCCAGACCAGAGTGCTGTATTAGAGAGGTTCAACCTGTACCAGAGTCATAAACTCACAGAATAAACATGTTTCTCAAAACATTTTCTAATTCTCAAAATATTTCATATAGCTCTTTTAAGTCTGTGTAATGTTGCACCTATTAAAAAACCAAATTCCCATACATTTTAACTCCTCGATAATAATTATTCTTATTAACTACCCATTTCAATTGTGACTCAAATATGAACAGTCTATGAAATAATTGCAAACATTTTCAATTAGGTACCAATCATTTATAAACAAAAACATTACAATATTTAAACTTAACCAGAATGGTTGTAGGGTGTATCCCACTTCTACAATGCTCAAGACCCAGGATCTGTAGTCATATGGGGCCAAACACTGAGGAAGTGGGAAAGGTGGTTTTCAAACAAAGGAAAAACAGACTGTTGGAGGACTGATTTACTGTTTCCATCTGTATGCCCAGATTTAAAGGCCACTCCCTTGAAAAATTCCTCATGAGCCGTATAGTGTCTAGGGTGAGGCAATATGCCTCCTTCTTAGACTGCCTTGTTAAGGAAGAAGGATAATGACTGCCTCTTGATGCTCTTCCTTCCTTTCTTGATATAGCATGCTATTATGCCTGCTCCTGAACTCTGCTAGCAGGCTCAGTACTGGAGTCGGGCATGGTTGCCCACCTGGTGGGAAGGTCCAGGACTCTTTTTCAAAGCCATTGAATAGGAACACCTGGAAACTGGGGAGGAGGGGGACACTATAAATTCCAAAAGGGTCACAGGACCAGTGTAAGACCTCAATAATTTCCTAGCCCACCACTTGACGCTACTCCTGTAAGTGGATCCATAGAAAGGTGGGAATGAGAGCAGCTTCAAGGACAGTAAGAGTAAGACTGAATCTTCTCCTCTGAAGAGGACGACTTTTGGTGACCATTGGGGTGAATCTGCTATGCAGCTGGCAACTGGTGCCTACGTGGAGAAGTCTGTATTGTGACCAGCGTCACAGGTTTCCCCTTTGATAGTACCACTGGATGAGCTGTCATGGATACATGAAATCTGTCTAGTACTGAGACCTGTAATGATCCAGCCAGTTCCCCTATGCCCACTGACATCAAAAGCAACGTGTCTTTCACTGCCAGCAACACCAATACCAACAGCAAGAGGAAATTCTTGTCAGCAGCAAATACTTTGAGCGTGGTCAGTACTGAGATTGTGTTGGTACAATGCATTGCCACAAGCATGGAAGCATCTTCTGGCTCTGGACTCAACAGTACCAACACAGATGCTGGAGTCAATGGTGCCACTGAGGCAGAGGAGTGCTGGAGACCAACCTCTTTTGAAAATTTGCTTTTTATGACTCTTCCCAGGCACTGGGGATGGTGATTACTACTGGGACTCTGACACAATAGAAAAAGCACTTCTAATGGATATTGGGGAACTTGGTGCCAACTCTGACCAGCCTGGGGTCTCAGTTCCAACCTCATGAGCAGAAATTTTACTCTGGTTTTCCCATCTTTTTTCATGTGAGACTTTAGTCCTTGCAAATTTGGTAAGAGTCCCCAGTATGAGCCTCCACAATGCACTCATGGTAACTCAGGGGCATAGCTTTATTAAAGGAAAGACAGGGCTTGCCAGTGAACCAGGCATCCCTTGACACCAGGGATGGACAGAAAAGAAGATAAACACAGAAAATCTAACTAAATAAACACTAGCAATTTTACTATTACAGGTTGGACCTCCCTGACCCAGCATCCTCGAGATCTTACTAGTCCCGGATAAGGGATTTTGCCAGACCAGGGGAGATCATTTTTGGATCCTTGCCACCAGTACCGCTGGCTGGCTGCTGACCTCACTGCCATGCACCTGGCAGACCTGCCAACAGCCTTCTGCGGACAGCCCACTGCCCTGCTGGCCCTGTAGGAAGCCTTGCCCCTGGCCTCCCACGGGGACTCTCTGATCCTGCAACATCCATGCCAGATCATGGATGTTGTGAACCAGAGAATTAAGGATGATAAATATTGACTGATTAATCAAATAGTCGATAGGGCACCTCTGCCTTTGAAGTGTAGCAACAGCCCCAGGGAGTGATCCCAGGCTCTGCGCAACGCTGTCGCTTTGAAATGCTGTGTGCAGCTGGATGCTGGGCTCCCCGCGGCATTTCAAAGCAGCAGCGCCACACAGAGCCCAGAGTCATCAGGGGATTCCCCAGCTGATCTCAGGCTCCACCTAGTGCTGCCACTTTCAAATGCTGTGAGGAGCCTGACATTGGGCTCCCCGCGGTGTTTCAAAGCGGTAGCGCCGCACGGAGCCCGGAGTCAGCGGGGGAGTCCTCAGCTGATCTCAGGCTCCACATGGTGCTGCCGCTTTGAAACACTGCATGCAGCCTGGGGACATCCCAGCTGGCCCCAGGCTTCACGCAGCATTTCAAAGCGGCAGCGTTGCGTGGAGGCCAGGGTCTGGCCCCAGGCTTCAAGTAATGCTGCTGCTTTGAAGTACCCCCTTCACTTCCCTCCCCACTTGCTGCCTCTTTCTGATAGAGGGAGCAAGGGCAGAGGGGAAGCGACTAGCCTATCGACTATCCGATAAGCATTTGGTTATCGGACAGTCAACTCATTGTTCACATCCCTACAGAGAATCCTGATTAAGAGAGTTTCAACCTGCATTACCTACAATGTATAAGGAACAAAGTCCATTGAGACAACTTATGAATGCAAGATGAACTGTTCCAGAGACTGTCATAGGTGGTAAGGGTATGTCTACACTACAAAGTTAATTCGAACTAACGGATGTTAGTTCGAATTAACTTTGATAGGCGCTACACTAGCGCTCCGCTAGTTTGAACTTAATTCAAACTAGCAGAGCGCTTAGTTCGAACTAGGTAAACCTTATTTTACGAGGACTAACGCCTAGTTCGAACTTACTAGTTCGAATTAAGGGCTGTGTAGCCCCTTAATTCGAACTAGTGGGAGGCTAGCCCTCCCCAGCTTTCCCTGGTGGCCACTGTAGGCACCACCAGGGAAACTCTATTTCCAGGGGCTGGCTGGCTACAGTGCCCGTGCCAGGTGCAAGCCTGCCAGCACCCAGCCAGCAGACCCTGCACCTGGCACGGCTCGAGCCAGCCACCCGATGCCCCCCAGCTCTCCCCCTCTTCCCGGGACCAGGCTGGCGACTCCCGGGAGCTTGCCCAGGACCGCAAGAAGCAGGCACCCGCCTGGTCTAGTGCGGACATCGTGGACCTCATCCATGACCTCCGCACTAGGCACAGGAAAGTGGCCATCTAGGGCAGGAGACCTGCCAGCCTGGCCACCCAGGAGCAGGTGTGCATGAAAATCAAGGTGGTCCACTGAGAACCCCGACCCTGAGCCCTGAGCTTACAATGGCCGTACTGGGTCAGACCAAAGGTCCATCTAGCCCAGTAGCCTGTCTGTTGACAGCGGCCAACACTAGGGACCCTGGAGGGGATGGACTGAAGACAGTGACCAAGCAATTTGTCTCGTGCCATCCCTCTCCAGCCTTCCACAAACTTTGGGCAGGGACACCACTCCTACCCCCTGGCTAATAGCACTCCATGGACCCAACCTCCATGACTTGATCTCACTTCTCTTTAAACTCTGTTCTAGTTGTAGCCTTCACAGGCTCCTGCAGCAAGGAGTTCCACAGGTTGACTCTTTGCTTTCTGAAGAACAACTTTCTGTTACTAGTTTGAAGCCTGCTACCCATTCCTTTCCTTTGGTGTCCTCTAGTCCTTCTATTATGGGAACTAATGAAGAACTTTTCTTGATGCACCCTCTCCACCCCACTCATGCTTTTATAGACCTCTATCCTATCCCCCCTCAGTCTCCTCTTTTCTAAACTGAAAAGTCCCAGTCTCTTTAGCCTCTCTTCATATGGGACCTGTTCCAAACCCCTGATCATTTTAGTTGCCCTCCCCTCTCCCACCCTCTCTCTTCCCCTCTCCCCCCTCCTTTTCCCAGTCTCCCCCCGTTTTGTTCAATAAAGAGAGATTCTATTTTTGAACACAATTGTCCTTTATTTTGTACATCAGGAAGGGGGGCTAGGGAGGGGTAAGTGGAAGGAGGGGAGGGGGGAATGGTGTACGAGCCCCCGATGGGGAGGACTGGGCTGGCTCTGCGGGCTTCTGGGGGTGGAAGCTCTCCTGCAGCCCCCCAATTGCCCCCTCTCCCCAGATGGCAGCCTGCGGCAAGTGCCGCCGGGCTGATGGCCGAGTGCTGTGATGTGCCCAGTGTGGGTACTCCGGGCAATCCAAGCCATGACTGCTTTGCAAGCTGGGCACCCCTGAGAACTGTCTGTCCGGGGTGGGGGTCGGGTCCCTTTTAGCACAGCCCTCGGCTAGCCTGAGACAGCAGCTCCACGCTCTAAGTCCTCATCTGTTGCCCTGCCAGCCCTGCTTCCGGCCACCTTTAACCCCGGTTCAGGATCCACTTAATGTGGACATGCTAGTTTGAATTAGCAAAACGCTAATTCGAACTAGTTTTTTAGTCTGGATCCGTTAGTTCGAATTAGCTTAGTTCGAATTAACTAATTCGAACTAAGTAGTTTGAATTAGCGCTGTAGTGTAGACATACCCTCAGAAGGAACTGACGGGACACAGGGTTGGCTGGATACTTTAGCAGTGCGCAGCATCAGAGTGTGCTCAATCTGCCCCAATGGGTACTACTGAGGGAAAAATTTCCAGTGACTATGCATGGGATGTCAGTTCTACCAACAGTAGAATGCACATGTGCAAGCCCTCAAAAATAATGAATATTTACTAAACATTGTTTTAAACTATATAATCACAATTTGATCCTTAACATACCAATTAATGGATCCATTTCTATGGGAAGATGATGGGCTTGATCCAAAGAATATCCTGGGGCTCCCCTGAGGCCTAGAGATGAAAGAAGGAATAAAAGAAATATGGAATTTGCTTTATGCAATGTTTACATTGTTTTTCCAGTGTTAGCATTGTAAAATGATTATACCCTATAAAATTCATAATATCTTACCATTTCTTGTTATATCAATTTTTAAGATTTCCTTTTTCATGTGAGAAAAGTTTTTTACTCAAATAAATAAAATTAAATTAAAATATGTATGTTTACTTTGAGCCAAATTAAGCTGTTGCTGATTTTAGTAAATCAACTCCTCATTTACAATGGTATTACAGACCATTAAGTTATATACAATTACTGGGACAGAGTCTCAGAGCTACTACAATGGTAAAAAAAGGGAGGGAAACTGCCTTAAACAGTCAATTGGGGATTCCTTTTCTGGAAAGAAATTGATGAGTGGTGTAAAATTGAGACCACAGCTCTAACCGAACCACTGCTATTATAATAGAAATGTAGCCGTGTAAGTCTGGTGTAGCTGAAGCAAAATGCAGGACTTGCTATTATAAGTGATATTTCAGGGGCCTTACTAAGGAACAATTCACATAGGAATCCTAGTCACACAAGCGTTATAATAGAGGCATTACTGTTGGTGCAATGCAGATCTATATTTTAAAAGTCAATATTTGCTAAGAGTCACCGTACAATGTATTGTACCAGAGATTCCTCCTATGTTTAGAAATATGTATCATGAATATCACTATGTGGTTAACTGTTGGTAGTTGTTGGCTTTTACAATGATGATCTTTACATATGTGTGATGAAGATAACATTTACACATTTATCAGAATGGAATGTTCAATAGTGAGTGATGGAGCTAATAATATGATACAGCCCATCTCCCATCACACATAAATAGTTTATGTTATTGTTCTATTCTGACAGAGTACAACTATCTTAAATCACCGTAAAAAAGGACAAGTGCATACATTCCATCAATTTGGAGAATAACATTCTAAACACACTTCGGGTGGAAATATTCTGCTCATTGAAACTGAATCATTATTTTTTTTGAAAAGAAAACTATACTTCAAAAGAAAATAATATCAAATTTGCTTTGTGCTGCAAACAGAAATTATGTAAAGCAAGAAGCACTTACTGCTTATAATCTGTGATGTTTTAATCAGAATTGATTTCAGAGTGTTCTCTGGTTGTGGCCAGTTTACTGAAAATACATTCAAATCCTCTAACAAGTACAACTCTGGACCCAGTGAATCAGTCATGTAGCAAGATCTCAAACTTGGTATGCATAACTGATTGGGAGAGGGGAGTTAGAGATTTAAATGGGGCTTAGGACATTGCAGGACAATCTTTTCCATGCTGGACTACAAGACTGTTTTTCTGGAAAGTGACATATATCTTTCCTTTTTTTCCAGGTCTCCATAAAAGGAAATGAAGACTACTGCAAAATATGAATATACACACATGTATGACCAAGGTGTATTTTAATTCTGTTTTTAGGATGCGGATTTGAGTTACCTCTTAATGCCCCTTCCATTCCTATGTTTTTATTATTCTATGTATGACTCAGAAAGTTAGAATATTATGTTCCAAGCTCCTGAGAGTTTTAGTGTGGGTATCTGTAGATACATTATCCTTGTGAAGTGTATCTGCATTGAGGATTTTACATCTTGAGTTAGGTTCAGCAATAATGTACCAGTCATAACATTGCTGTGCAGTCTCTTAATATACAAGTAGACTACGTCTAGACTGCATCCCTCTGCCGACAGAGGGATGCCAATCAAGCACTTTGGAAATGCAAATGAGCGTGGGATTTAAATATCCAGGGCTTCATTTGCATACTGACGCTCGGGCGCTGTGCCAATCATGCGCCATTTCGAAAGTGAAAGTAAAGTGTAGCCACGGCTCTGCCAACAGCGGGGAGCTTTTTCGGCAGATCCTGTACTCCAAAATGTTGTGACATGTAAATCCAGGAGTGTGATATGTCAATGCCAAACAAATCATCAGCCTTTCTTGTACAGAAGTTTGTTGTACCAGGCTGCAAACATTAATGAGCACGGCTTTTAGGCACTATTTATCACTGGAAGTAGTCCTTGCAAAAGGGGCAGAATGGAAAGGCAAAATTGGGAGAGCAAGGCACTTGTGAGGGAGGTAGCACATGTTGGGTGTAAGATAGTTGGTAGAGGAAAAACAAATGATCATTTCTACAGGTCAAAAGGAGAACCCAATCTTGTGTGATGTCACCAGACATTTGAAATGTATTCTCACCATAACTTTTATATTAAGAATCTTTCACTGACAATATTTAGATTTAGTAATAATATAGTCAGTTTTTACTAATTAAATACATGTCTAGAGTAGCATGTCATAAAAATAAAGAGCGTCATCAATTAACCTTGTAAAATTGATTTTACAAATTAGTAATTTAACAGCTCACCTTAGAAAGTCAGAGACCTAGTGTGCAAGTTCTGTGTATTTTTTTGATAGTAATGGAGTATCCCTGTGCACAGTTTCATGTTTATGAACCTACCCAAAATGCTAGATTATTGGATTATTATTGTTGGAATAATTAATTAAAAACAAGCACTGCAATTAAATAATGCCACAGTTTTAACAGACTAGACATCTTTAAAAGTTTTTATAATTTAAATCTAAGTAGGCAAGAGAGACCCTTTAAGATTGTAAACCAAACCAACAAAAATTAGAAGTGCAACATTAAGACTGATATTCCTGCCCTAAATTATGCTGTTCTGAAGTAACAGAAAATGGCACAAACAGTGTAAAAGCCAAGAAAAGTGTAGGAATTATTTTGAATTTCTTAACAATTTTGCTTATTTATCCAAAAATATTGTGGTTCCTGGGTTGCACAAACAATGCATGATTTAGTTGACATGATTTATGAACCTAATCCTGCATATTAGCAAACAGCTTCATGTTTTACATGGGTATATGTGAACAAAATAGTTACATGGACATCAAGGAAGAATCAAGGCCTATAAGGCTTTTCTTACATAAAGCATGGTTGCTAGGGAACACCTAAGATTTCCCTAGATGGCATACCTACTGTGTTGTGCCATCTATTGACCAGCTATTATTTACCTTTATCTCATTAAAGAGGTGGGAACATGTGCATTTCAGTATTCCCACTATTGTACTAGGGGGAGGGTGCAGTTTGCCCACTAAAGGACCCTTTTAAGAAATTGAGGAGACCGTAACACATTCAAGGAGGTTCCTCAAATGGCCTGCTGAAGGGCAAGGATGATTAGCCAATGTCCCCAGAAGACTTGAAAAGCTTACAGAGGACTAACAGAACAATGTTAGTAAAATTAGTATTAAAGTACTGTAGGAGACTATCTTGTTTATGATTTTTTACATTGGGTTCCTCAACTGCCAGTGTCACAAATAACCATAAAAAAAAGAGTCTTTTAGCTACATGGCTGCCTCCTCTAGCAGGATCAGGTTCTAATCCTAATGCTAATTATGAATACAAGTCATATTTCAAATACATTGTCATTCCATGTTGATACCAGTGATTATTTCTTACCTTCAAATGTTCAGGCAATAGGAATTAGCAAAATTAAGATAATTCTCTTTTTTTAACTGTGAATAAAGTTTCGGTATCTCTGAATGTGGAGGTACCTGACATAATATTCAAAAGATAATGGTAAGTCAGGTACCTCAAAAGACACTCTCTCTAATAGTGAACAGTGATACACATATACTAGCTAGTCTAGTGCTGAAAACTGGGGCATATTATACACGTGGTGTCAAGAATAGTAGTACCATACCAAACATATTATACTAAAGACTGATACTGATGTAGCAACATATCAATTGGTTGCAAATCTGATCTGAATTTAGGGAGCTTGCTTCTTGGAGTAACAAAAGACAGGACTATGCAGCACTTTAAAGACTAACAAGATGGTTTATTAGGTGATGAGCTTTCGTGGGCCAGACTCACTTCCTAAGATCAAATTGTGGAAGAAAATTGGCATGACCATATATACCAAAGGGATAAAATAAAAAAAAATACTGCTTCTTGGAGTGATATTACGGAAAATGGACACTATGAGTACTCAATATATACATTGATAAATGGGTAAAAATGTGTTGCCAATCTGTAGACAAGCACGATCAACCCAGCTACTCTACTTGAAACTTAAAAGATGCACTGCTTACATAATGTTTAAATAAGAGATCTGTGAACACATACCTACTGTGTTGTGCCATCTATTGACTGCAAAAAGTCTGCTGCAAGTCACAGTTACCACTGCAGGAATAGTAAGGTGGGGAAGCGTGTTGGCTGCCACATGTGTGACAGGAGAATTTGATGGAAATTTCAGCACCATTATAACATCCTGCTGCATCTGATCTTTAAACATGAGTGGACTCTGTGGAAGGAAACACTGTTGAGTAGAAAGGAGAAGAGAGCAGAAGAAAACAGAAGGGATAACACAATTAGTGAGGAGGTCTGAGGGAAAACAAGGTTAAAGTGAGTAGGCAAACATGCACATACAGGGAAAACAATGCTATCTGCACTAGCAATTTAGGAGGGCAAACTATTACTGGATCATTACACGAGGACAAATAGAGAAGAGGTATGGTTAAGGTCCATTAGGTTATTACAGGGTATAAAAGATAAATCAGCATTAATTCAACAAAAATCAAAATATTAAATTATCAGAATAGTTAATATTAATACACTGTAGATAGGAATCAAATAGAAGATTAACCCATTATTACCTCATAAACATGAAATTGTATAAAGTCCAGTAGCTGAAACAAGAATTTTTAGAAGGAGGAACTCAGAAATCCCACAGATGACTGTTTTTCTAATGTACTTTAGACTAAAGTAAATCCTTTAGAGTATACTATATGAATTGACTTTACTTTTTATTTCTTAGAAATCATATTAAAACTATATGAATTATTATAAAATCAAGGTGATTATTCTGTAAGTAAAATATAATTTTAACTCATGGCTAGTAACAGTTTTATTATCAATGAAAGTATGTGAATCCCAATTTGCATGTATTGCATGTCTTCATAAACTTAACTGTTATATCAACTAAGATGAATTCTAGGAAGTTTAAGTAATCTTTTGCTCTGAATCTACAGATTTAAACTGCTGTCTAAATATATTACATACATTTTTAAGATATTGACTATCTAGATATGTGAATTTGCAGGTGATGTTTAATTTTTAAAAGAACAAAATTAAAACTTTAGGAAAATTGTCATTTGCACAATGTGATTTTCCTCATGGGTAATGGATATTATGAAAGCTAGTGAACATTATGATTTATTTACTAAAGTTCATAGAAAGTTTCTTGTCTTCAGAGGATACTAACTGGGACAGATACCACTACTTTTCACTTTTGCTACATAATATAGTACTTTGTAATGAGCATATAAAAGAGTGCATTGGTAATTAATGCTGAAGTTCAAATTGAAATTACAAGGACATATTGTATTCTTTCACAGGAATGGACAAAAGGGTTCCAAGCATGATTTGAATTACATTTTTTCATTCCTGACAAGCAGCCAATGTTCATAAATCACTCTGGAATGTTTCCCCCTTTTTTCTAAACAAAATGTTTAATATGAGAGAAGCATATACTCATTTTTATTTCATGCAGTTATACTCATCAAATACATATTTATAAGATATCCTTTTTTAATCCAAGATTGGGCAACAGAAATAAATGGCTGTAGAAAGTGAGAGCTATTCCAACTTCCAACTTGCTGTTTAAGAGCCTGCATGCAATTTCTGCACAGAGTAAAAGCTATGGTATTGTAGGCCACTCAGGGCAGGAAAAGAAAGTGTTACTTAAATAGGTATTTTATGACCTAGAAAGGATCCTCAGGTTGAAAGGAAATAAATTCCCAACCAGCAGTTATATCTCACCAGGTGCATGGCAGAGCTCCGAGGAGGATGTGGCTCAATAAGCAACTGAGATGGCGTCTGTCCAAAGTTCTGTATCTGTGCCTCCATGGCCTGCAGGGAAAGGAGAGTGATTGTCATAATCAATATGCATCAAAGAGATAGGTCAACACACTATTTGACAATGCAAGCAAATCCTAAGTCAGCCATGAAAAAAGTCCAGAAAATTCACCGGGTGCTCTTCTCTCAGGCTGCAGACTCATCCAAGTGTTAGTATTTTGTAGACAAGCTTTGCTTCTCCTTTCAAGCATGCTTCAGTTAACCAAATAACCATTCTTATTTCCAGTAGCTGGGGTTACATGTGAAAATGTTAACCTGTGAGGACATGCAGTTAAGGTCTTGAGAGATTTCTTTGAAAGAAATATACCACATATACCTTAATAAAGTCCTTTGTAAGAAGGAAAGTATGAGGATCTCTAATAAAATACGCCTCTGGGATCTTAAAGGAGGGGGGAAGCAAATTGAGAAATAAAATTCATGGATAATGTTTAGAAATCATAATTTCAATAACACAGCCATTAAAAATAAAAATACTGGAAATATACTATTATACAATACACTGTAGCTACAAGAATTACAAATAAAATCTTTAGGTAATGATCTAATTTTCTAGGTAGTATTCATTTACCAAAATAACACAATATTTATTTTTTGTGTGTGTTTATTTTGGATCAATTTTCATAACACCCTAATACTGACTATTGTAAAAACTATGAAATATATAATTAGTAATTTCAATTTTAAATTAACTCCACCGACAGTGGAATCTGGCCCACAGACTGAAACATTTCAAGCACCTACACAACCACTTAGAAAGAGAAATGTTTTTACACTACACTTTAAAAACTGCTGGCAATTTTTTTATTGATACCTCCACTAATGATACCATTTAAGAACTTTATGCATCTTTCAGATACACAGGCTTCATAGCAGTGGATTTCAGAAAATCAAGAACTACACTTTAAGGTAAGCAACTGATTTTAAAAAACAAAAACTAAGTACTATATAGATATATATTAGAAAGGGCTCTATCCTAAAAAAATTCTCTTGTTTGCATCAATAAGTTTCTCAACTTAGCATGCAAGGAAAACAATGCATGAAAAAGCCTCCTAAAATATAAAAACCATAAATATTAAATTGAAAGGATTCAAACAAACATTTTAAAAGGCAGTAGAACCTATTCAGTCTGCACTCTGATAAAATGTATGTATTATAATCCACACAAAACAAATGTTGGTCTCTTCCAATATCTGAAGAAAGAAACTGTAATAGGTGCCACAGGGACATCTCCTAAAACCTTGGTAATATTTACAAAATATATTGCAATATAGTTGCTAATATTCAATGAATTATCATAAATAAACTACTGACAAAATAAGAATCTAAGACAAAGTCTAACTGAAATTGATAACTGTCCATTGACTTCAATGGGCTTTGGATCAGGCCTGAGTGAATAAAGTCCATTTTGTGATGTGTTATTCCTGTTTTTATAGTAATTGCTGATTTACTAATTCACAGAATGCACTAGTTTGCTCTTGGGGGCTTATCCTGCAAGTTGATGAGTATCACCTAGAAACTAGGGTACGTCTACACTACAACGTTAATTCGAACTAACTTAGTTCGAATTAGTTAATTCGAACTAAGCTAATTCGAACTAACGGATCCAGACTAAAAAACTAGTTCGAATTAGCGTTTTGCTAATTCAAACTAGCATGTCCACATTAAGTGGACCCTGAACCGGCTTAAGGATGGCCGGAAGCAGTGCCGGCAGGGCATCAGAGGAGAACTTAGAGCGTGGAGATGCTGTCTCAGGCTAGCCGAGGGCCGTGATTAAAGGGTCCCGACTCCCACCCCGGAAAGACAGTTCTCAGGGGTGTCCCGCTTGCAAAGCAGTCCTGGCTTGGAGTGCCCAGAGTACCCACACTGGGCACATCACAGCACTCGGCCATCAGACGGAAGCAGTGCCGGCAGGGCATCAGAGGAGAACTTAGAGCGTGGAGATGCTGTCTCAGGCTAGCCGAGGGCCGTGATTAAAGGGTCCCGACTCCCACCCCGGAAAGACAGTTCTCAGGGGTGTCCCGCTTGCAAAGCAGTCCTGGCTTGGAGTGCCCAGAGTACCCACACTGGGCACATCACAGCACTCGGCCATCAGACCGGCGGCACTTGCCACAGGCTGCTATCTGGGGAGAGGGGGCAATCGGGGGGCTGCAGGAGAGCTTCCACCCCGAGGAGCCCACAGAGCCAGCCCAGTCCTCCCCATTGGGGGCGCGTACC